GGGCAACAGGGAGCGGGAAACGTGCACAGGTGCCTGCACATGCGTCTGTCTGTGTTTGCGCGCGCATGCGTGTGTGAGCGTGTGTTTCTGTGTGTGTGTGTGTGTGTGTGTGTGCGCGCGTGAGTGTGTGTGTGCGCGCGTGAGTGTGTGTGTGCGCGCGTGAGTGTGTGTGTGTGTGTGTGTGTGTGTGTGTGTATGTGTGTGTGTGCGCGCGCGTGAGTGCCCTCGCTTGCGTTTTTGGGTGTGGGTGTGCGCGTCCGGGGCCCGCATGGATTTGGTTCATCAGTACTAGATTTGGGGAAGCTGGGTGGTCTGACGCATGTTGTGGCGCGCAGCTTTCTCTGTGGTCTGTTGTCGGGACTGCCCCTGCTACATAGTAGCGCAGTCGAACGGCCCCAGACGACACGACTGTGCGACCTCTAGCACAAAGGCGCGGCGCCCTGCCCCCCGGCGCCGCGCAATGCCCCGGCACGCCTGCCGCAGGGCCGCAGCAGAACGCACACAAATGCAAACGCCCGGACGTGGACGCTCCCCAACTGTTGCACTCACCCCCTCCCCCCAAAAAACCACTGCCTGCCCTGTCACAGCGCTGACCATGCTCCATTCGCATCCCTCCTCCTCCGACCTCCGCCCTCGACCCTCGCTTCCCTTCTATGCATTCTCAGATCGGGTTTGACCGCCCTGCGCCCGCCATGGAGCGCGTTGGGGACCTGCTGCGGGACCTGTCTGCCTGCGGGGCGCTCAGCAGCACCCAGATGGCGCAGGTGGGGAGGGCTCGGGGCTCCGCCCGCGCGGGGGCGTCTCGGCCGACGCCTTGGGGGTTGCGGCCTTGAAGGGTGGGCGCGCGCTACCGCATACGCGGCGCCGTCGCGCGCAGGAGGGTCGCGGCGACGGCTGCGCGCGGGCGCGCCTTGGAGCGGCAGGCCGCCGTGCGAGCCGCCTTACCGGCCCGCACCCTCTGCGGGCGCCGTGTGTGAGCGTTTCGCCGCGCAACCTCGGATCCGTCGACACCCCCGCAGGGCCTCGGCCGCGTGAGGTCCCGGCTCGCTGACGAGGCGCTCGACGCGCCCGCGGCCCCCGCCGCGTTCGGCGCCCTCCTGGAGCGGGCCGGCAAGGAGGGCTGGCTGCCTCCGGAGCTCAAGGCGGCGGAGTGATCTGGAAGATCTCAGATCGCCATGGCGATCTTGGATCATCGTTCGGCCGGCCGGCGGCCATCCGTTGACGAGACGCTCGGTGCAGCGTCGGCGTGTGCCCTGCAGGAGGCGGCTCTGCATTGTTTTCGTGTGGGGGGGAGGGGGCCCTCGCGCCGCAGCGGGCCTGGCAGCGGTGGCCGGCTGCGGCAGCGCGGGCGACGCTGCGGCATGAACGTGTGCACGGCGCATATTGGGAAGCCATGCGGCTGCTGCCCGCTGCACTTACGGTACAAAATTTGCGGCGCGCACGGCTCGGCCTGTAGGGGCGCCGTGTGCGCCGTCTGGCGTCTGGCGTCGGCGAACTCAAAATCACACCCGGCAGGCAGCTGCGAGCGGCCGCGCGGGGGCGCTCCCGGGCCCGCGCCCACGCCCGCTGCATCCCGCCGCACACCGCCAGGCCCGCGCCGCGCCGCCGCCGCATCCCCTCGGCAGTCAACGTCTTTGGGGCTGCGTCCGGCGTCCCGCCCCCGCCGGTGCGAACGCCCCGCGCCGATCCCGCCGGTGCGTGACGTCCGAGCGGCCCAGCCGGCGGGCCGTCGCCGGCGGGCGCGGCGTTTCACGTTGGTTGTGCTGCCTTGCATGCGCCCATCTGCACATAGTGGCACTGACTGCGACGAAGAACCACCTCTGCGCCCGGGGGGATTGCCGGGCGCGCAGGTTGTACAGTAACGGTGTGTTGTGTGGATGCATGTGGATGCAGGGGTGAGAGGAATGGCCAGCAAACACACTTGTTTCGTAGGCTGGTTCGTGTTTCCCACGACCCAGCGGCAGGCACACAGGCAGTTTGCAAAGGCCGGAGCGGTCAGTGGTCCCGCTCAAGGAAGCGTCCGGACTCGACGCGCCAGGGCCTGGCGACGGTGGCGCATGTGCCGGCGCGCACCTCATCGCAAGCACCTCAGCCCCAGCTGCACGCTGACTTTGGGGTACAGTATGAGGGTTTTGCGCCCGGTTGAAACACCCTGCACCCAGTCTTCCACCCCAAGAGCAGGGCTTGCTTAGTATTTTGTCCTCAACGTATGGGAGCGCGCCGGCCGCTTGTATGGTGCAAGCACTGCGGTCTTTTGGGCGGTTCCTTGCGGGATGTTGGGCGGGGAGGGAAGCGCAGTCGAGCAGTGAAGGATGGGCCGGCGTGCGCCCGCGTCCACGGGGCCCGCGCGCTTGTTGGTGCTGTGCTTGTGGCGTGCAGGATGGCACGGGGCTCCAGAGTTGCATAGGCAGGGGCCGTCCACGATTCGATAGCACCCGGCCCGGCCCCTGTCACATGACTGGAGAGCGAGCGACTCACAGCTGTAGGACAGCGGAGTCCTGCGAGTCCTGCAGGAAGAGCGGAATAGTCATCTGATGGAATTGGGCGTGGTAATCAGCAGCCTCTTACTTTGTGGACGTGGTGCATGCTGTCTGGTGCCTTGATCCGGCAGCGAACGGCAAGCAGCAGCACGTCACCGGGGTGGCCCTGCCCCGCCGAGCCCGAGGCAATCCAGTAGCGCATTCACCAACTCCTGTTGTCTATATTCGTTTTAGGACGGTGACGGTTGGACCGATTTGCTTATTCACGAGGCTGCACGAGGACGCTGCTGCACGCCAACGCGATCATTTGGGAGGAGCACGGGCGTTCGCTGTCGCAAGACGCAATGTCTCTATTAGGCAGCAAAATTAAGGCTGCCGCACAGGCCAGGAGCGCTGCGCGAGCACCGGCGAGGGGCCCCTCGATTGCCCCGATCAAGCGGGGCCCGGCCCAGGTGCATGCTGCCTATCAGCAATACGAGTCGCAGCGCCGCGCGCCAGGTGATTTTACACCGCGCTGCTCGATGCACTGACGTCCGACTCAGTGTCTTAGCGTTGCCAACCGTGCCGGGCCTGACAAGCCAATGCCGCGGTCCCATGACGGGTTTGATCATCATAAACCACTGGTTGTCTGCCATTCGCGCGTGAGATTGCGCTGCCGCAGCCACGCAACCCGATGCGCGCGCTCGTCGTGTTGGTCACTGCTCTGCTGGGCCGCTGCATCTTCACTAGGTGGTGCCTGCTCCTCCCCTTGCGCGACGCTTGCAGCCCCCTCCACGCCCAAGAACGCGCCTCCAATCATCAGCGGGCCCGTGCCCGAAACGCCCCTGCCCGTGGCCGCCGCGCCGGCGACGCCCCCTGCGGTCCCGGCCACGCCCGGCTTTGGCGCACTGCTGAAGCGAAGCGACTCGGGGCGCGTGAACGTCCGATTCTGGCTCAAGTTTCGCGTGGAGTATGGACAGTCCCTCCGCGTCACTGGCGGCAGCAAGGTCCTGGGTGAGCCCACCCGGTTCTATTTCAAACAGCGGCGGTGGCCGTGATGGGCCTTCTGCAGTCTGGCGGCCCGGTCTGCTGCTGTCCTGTTGCGATCTAGGGTTGACCACTGCAGCGCGACAGGCTTTGCTGCGGTCTCGGCATGTGCTTGTTATGAATAACACATGCTTACACAGATGCGAAGCTGCATGCTTGCTCCTCTGTGATGCACACACGCACACACACACACTCCCTCGCTCTCCCCCCCCCTCTCTCTCTCTTACACACACACAAACACACACGAGCATGTGTGCATGCCCGCATGCACACACGTCTCACACAGATGCTCACCCGTGCATACGACACTGATTGATATCACACCACAACCTCCTCGGGCCTCGCTCATATCGATATTGACTCATCAGGGGCATGGGACCTGGCCAAGGCGCCCAGGATGGTGTGGTCGGAGGGTGACCTCTGGAACGTCACCCTGGACCTCGACGCCGGTGAGTCCAGTGACGCATCTAGTTGCGTAGCAAGTGGTCCACTGCAGCTGGGGTTGTCACCCAGCTAGAGCTGCCAACTGCAGCGGGCGTCCCCGCCGTGCCATGTTGGCCCCGCTGCGCTTGCCAACCTCCAGCCTGTCGTTGCAGCCGGGCCAAGTGCCCCTCCCCCGCCCAGCGCCAGGGCCCACTGCCTCGAGGCACCCTGGATACTGACTTCTCGCCCTTCGTCCAGTCCACAAACAAACTTCTTTCTTTCACTCTCTGTTAAGTGCAACCCCCAAAACCTCCAACCAATGAATTGAAGCCCTCAGTCGCACCCACACACCGCCCGACCACGATCTGCGCAACCCCCAACAGGCATGGTGTACGAGTATAAGTATGTTGTGGTGGGCTGGGACGGCCAGACGGCGGCTGCATGGCAGACAGGCGGCAACGGCGTGATTGCCCTGCAGGTGGGTGCCGCGCAGGCGGGCTGCGGGGCGGTGCGAGGGGGTTGCGCTCGCACATTCCGGGGCGAATGACGGTGGATGTCCGCAGTAGCACATGATTTTGCGGCTGCCTGCGTTGCGAGCCGCCTGCGCTGAGGCGGTTGCGCTTCAAGGCATAAGCCGGGGGTTGGGGTGCAGGTTTGGGGGGCGCGCGGCGCCGGAGGTCTGCTCGCCACGGGCGCAGCCTGCAAGCTCTGTTTCTGCAGTGCAACCCGCGCATGTGCTTGGTGCCTCGGGCGGACCCGCGGGTCGCGCGCGACCACGCGCCTCCTGCAACGGTGCTGCGCACCCGTTCGCGCCGCAGTGGGGCGACAAGGACGTCGAGATTTTTGACAACTGGGGCAACAACCCCGGGGCTATGGTCATCACTGACGGCTCCGAGGCCACCCGCGAGAAGAAGCTGCTCGCATGGGCGGGCGACTACGCGTCCCAAAAGGCTGAGCTGGCGAAGACCAGGGCCGAGCTCGCACAGGCGCGCGCATGCACACACACACACACACACGCGCGCGCGCGCGCGCGCGAGCGCGCGCTTGCGCGCGTTTCCGCCCACCCACTCGCGGCCCCGCGGGCGGCGCGGCGGCACCGGGAGTGGCAGCGGGCGGGAGGGGTGTGCAGGAAGCTCCGCTGCATGCGCGCTCGGCCGCCGCCAGGCTCGTCGCAGCTCGCGCGAGTGCACGCTCGCTTCTTGCCGCGCCCCGTCTCACGTCGTTCCCTGCTGCTCCTCATCCCGTGTTCCTTTCCTGACCTCGTCCCGCCTCGTCTCATCTCGCCTCACCCCTTGCTGCGCCCAGGCCCGGGACGAGATCCGCAGCCTGAGGGCTGAGCTCGGGGTCAAGCGGATCGAGAGCGCGGAGGCGGCAGCCCGCAACCGGGTGAGCGGGCCTGCCGGGAGGAGCGATGCTGCGCGCGGCGGCCCGGTGGGTGCTGCCGCTGCTGCCGCCGCTGCCGCTTCCGCGCATACTGCCGTCCTGGGCTGCCTGCCGCCGCTGCTGCTGGCTCTTTTGCCTGCTGCTGCTGCTGATGCGTGCTTCTGTTTCTGCCGCGGCCACCGCTGTCTGGCACGTGCGCGCTGCCGTTTGCAGTACAGAGCGTCGGCAACACCCCGACCAGCCATGATCCTGCACACCCAACCAACCAACCCGAGCCAACCCAAACCGACCCAAACCACCGACCCCGCAGGAGCTGGAGCGCGAGATCACTGGCCTCCGCCGCCAGCTGGAGACCGGCCGCGCCCGCACGCGCGCAACGCTTGAGGAGGCCACCAAACTCCTAGACATGATAGACGGAGACGCCCCCTCTGCCGCGGCCGCCTCCGGCGGCGCCGCGCCCGGC